AGACATCTGTGCTTACCACCTACTATATGGGGGTCAGGTGCAATGAAAGTCAGGCAGCAGGCATGTGATGGACAGTCTTAGATGGACTAGACCCTTAGAATGGAAACTAGCTTTGGGAATGTGGAATGGCACTTCACTGGCAGAGAATGAGCCTGAGTTAGTATGTGAAAGGTATGGATTAGATATTGTCAGACTTACATCCACAAACAGTAAGGATTCTGGTACCAAACCTCTTGATTGGGGGTGGTAGCTGTCCTACTCCAGAGTTCCCACGGGTGATAGGCATCAGCTAGGTGTGGAAATATTATTAGACTTCTGTCCAAGCCACAGATTGTTAATAACACTTTGTTCAAACACAAAGTTGCTCATAAGTGTACTTGGTACAATTGTATCTTGGGCCAAATGACAGTGATTGTTTTTGTGATTGTATCATCAGACTTGAGAACATATGTTTTGAACTTGGTGGTGAGTTGGATTCTGGTAAATCCAAGAGAGCCTTCTGGGTTGCTTGTGGGAGTATGGCAGAAGCTTCAGTGAGAAACAAATTTAACTCACACCCCTGAAAGTATTTCTCCCATGTACAGAGTGAGGAAAGGGCATTGAGTCTGAATAAACGTTCAAGTCTTCAATCATAGAGACAGTTGCAAAAAGCTGTGGCCAGATGGCTATCGGTACCTGTCATCTTGGTAACCCTGGGATGTGTTGGTGGATACCAGTGGTGTGGGAAGGCATCAAGTTGAAGAGGGATGCATTCTGAGTAATACTAGTACAGTATTACCCAGGCTGTGTACAAATTATGTCTCTGTATGAGCACAGTGAGACTTGTGTCTCCATTTTAAGTCAAAATGGTTTAAGGTGGGTGTTGGACCCCATCAAGAGTTTGTCTTGTCTTCATGCCTGTTTGTGGTGTTCATGGACAAGATATCAAGATGCAGCCAAGGCTGGAGAGGTGGCCAGTATGGGGGGCTAGAAGCAACATCCCTGTTATTTGCAGATGATGTTCTGTTGGCACCATCTGAACTGGACCTCTGACAGACTCGTTTGCTGCTGAGTGTGAAGCGGCTGGGATGAAAATCAGGACCTCCGAGTCCCAGTCCGAGTCCATGGTTCTCCCTTAGAAAAGAGAGGGGCCGATTCCTTCAGATGGGAGGAGAGACCTTGCCTGCAGTGTTACAGTTGCTGTACTGGTCTATGGTGGTGAAACAAGAGCTCTGAGTACCAGTCAATCAGTGCCCCTATCCTCATCTTTGGCCACAAGCTGTGGGTAGTGACTGAAAGAATAAGGTTGCAAGTACAGCCATCAAAAGGGAGGTTCCTTTGCAGGGTTGCTGGCCTTAGACTCTATGATTGGTTGAGGAGCAAAACAATTCAGGAGAACCTCAGAATAGAGCCATTGCTCCTTGGAATTAAGAGTTGAGGTGGTTTGGGCACATTACAAGGATGCCCCCTGGTTGACTCTTGGTAGAGCTGTATCAGACATGTCCCACTGGATGGGGATCCTGGGGCAGACTCAAGACCCACAGGAGAGATTATATCTCACTAATAATAATAATAATAATAATAATAATAATTAGTCTTATTTATATAGTGCCTTTCTCGCACCCAAGGTTGTTTTACAATTACAGGAAAAACATACAATAACACAAAATAATGATAAACAAAAAACAGTCTGGAGTCCTCCAAAGGCTGCTTCCCATAAAGGCATACACTGCTACGGCCCACATGGTCCACAGGGCCACAACACTACTGAGTACCACCACTCTGAAGTGAGCTGCAGAGCTGCACACACTAAACAAAGTGAGCACACATTGCTGAACAGAGGCCTGAGAAGCCCCGAGACTGCTCAGAACAACACTGAACTCCCTGCCATTGACGCAAGTAGCATGCATGCTGAAAGTGATCAGATGCGGCATTCAGTCCATGGTGAGCAGAGACACAGACATGCACATGGGGGAAGGCCTAGGGAAATCCACTGCTTAAAATAAGGTCCATCACAACCGGCAACCAGCAAATACAACCAGTGACCAAAAATATTAAGAAAGACGACAAAACAAACATCAAACATACAAACATAAGACAAAAAAGAAAGAAAAATTGAACAGAGGAGAAACGAAAATATCCATTGAGAAGCGGCAGCTAAAATGAGCACAGCATGTTCTCAACCGTAATGGAAAAGTTGAATTGGCTTGGGAACGTCTGGGGATCCCCCAGGAGGACCTGTATTCTGTGGCTGGGGATAAAAAGAGAGAGCCTAGACAGTCTCAACTTTCTCAGCCTGTTGCCACCTCAACCCCTACCAGGAAAAGCAGAAATAAATGAAAAGAAAAATTAATGAAAAGGAAAATTATTGAAAAAAGGAGAAAGTCACTAACATTTAAACTCAGCATAATTGGTGGTGCAGTGAGTAGCATTGACGGCTCACAGCCCCGGGGTCCAAGGTTTAATCCTGAGCTCGGGTTACTGTTTGTGTGGAGTTTCTGTGCATATTCTGCCTATGTCCATGTGGGTTTCCTCCAAGTTCTCTGGTTTTCTCCCACCTCCCAAAACCATGCCAGAAGGCGGACTGGCTAAGACAGAGGTATTCAAACTGTGGGGCGTGGGTGAGATGAAAAATATCACAGCAACCATTTCCACATCATGCCACTGGTTATTTGCACATTGGCGCACACTGGCCCCACAGCACTGGGCTGATGTGGGCTAGCCCGCAGTGGTCCCGCATAGAATTTGTGTGGGCATGCCAAAGTGTGGGCTGCCCACAGAAAACCTGTATTGGGCCAATATGGGTAGAATAGGTATTTGCCCAATGTGGGCTAGCCTGCAGTGGTCCTCACATGGGATTAGTTATGGGCATGGCAAAAAAACCCTGCAGTGGGCAAGAAAACCTGCATTGGGCCTATGTGTCATTGGATTTGTATGGGTTAGCCCTCATCCACAATGCCCACAACTTGCCTCTAAAAAGCCAATGCGGGCATGTTTGCTGGGATTTAAATGACTGTTTCAGACCTGGCAAACTTTACACATTCAGTGGAGGAGCTTTGCATTTTAAAAGAGGAGCACAGAAATATGCCAAAAGAGCAGTCTTCCTTTTTCACTAATAGAAAAAAAACAGATGAGCCCATTGAGATATGCATCTGGAATGATTGATGCTTGTAATCTGCCTTTCTGTCACGGTAAATGGAGATTTTTTGAGATCATTGCGAATGTGAAATAAAATTGATCAAAGTGTGTCCAACTTATCCACCATTAAATAAGCATATAATATCAGTTGATTATATTTATTAGAAATGCCACCAGAATATTGGTCAAAAATGGTCAAAAAAGGCACTTTTGGTTTTCGTCCAAAAGAGAAAAAATGCTGAAAATTTTGACTTGGGAAAAAAACCATTAAATCGGCCTACAGAGAAGTACAAAATTCAGAACACTTCAGAAATAATTTTGATGGTAATTATAATTGGACAGTGATTTAAAATGCTGTTTGTTTGCTTTGCTGTCTTGTACTGTGGCACTGGATGGGTATTCCTGTTTCATGTCTGGTGTTCCTGGGAAAGTCTCCAGATCCACTACGACCCTGACAATATAAATAGCAGTTACTGAAAGTGAGTGAGTGAGTGAATGATAATTAGCCCACTCTGACAAACTAAATTAACTGGAACTGACATTTTACTAGGTGGCATGGTGGTGCAATGAGTAGTGCTGCTGTCTCACAGATCCAGGTTCCAGGTTACCCAGCTCAAACTTGAGTTTAGGTTACTGACTATGCAGAGTTTCACATGTGCCCATGTGGGTTTACTTTGGGTTCCTCCCATCTCCCAAAACAATTTTGGTAGGTAGATTGGCTACTCTAAATAGCCTCTAGATGGGAATGTGTGTGCATGGTGCCCTGCGATGGACAGCAATCCTGTTCAAGGTGTATTGCTGCCTCGCACTCAGTGTTCCTGGGATAGGCTCCAGGTTCACTATGACCCTGACTGAAATTAATGAAGGAATAACATTTTACCTGTAATGTGTATTCTCCAGCCCTTTCATCATATTTTGTTTTGTATTTCTCTGGATCAGAGATATCTCCTTTGTTACGTGCCCATGTGATGGTGGGTTCTGGCTCTCCTGTCACCACTGCTTTGAAAATGGCCGATTTACCTGCAATCAGGACAAGTTAGATCATAATATTGCTCTGGTAAAAGCCATTTATTAAGAATATAATAAACAAAAGTAAGTAAAGGTCTTGCGTATGACATTGTGCCCAAAACAATGGGTGAGGTTGAGGCTTGAGGTTTTCTTTTTTAAAGGTCTGAAATGCCTCCACAGGGATGGACTGTAGCCATAGTGAGACTCATTGTTTCATTCTTTTGCTAATTTTTTAGAAACTGTAGTACTCATATTTTTTCATTTTACTGAAAAAAGTGTAACACAACCAACCAAAACTGTGAAACTAGAACCATAAACGTAAACACTGGATATTGTTGTGTGTTCCACAGCCTTGCTCATAGTCTGCAAAAAAAGAGCAGACTATGAGCAAGGCTGCGGAACACACGACAACGCATAAGCACGACAACAACGACAAAAGCTTGGCAATGAAACATACAGAACCAGGACTTAAGTAGGGGTGCTGATTAGGGGTAACACAGAACAGGTGTGAGTGCTCAGAGAAACGTGTGACAAGGTCATGTGACATGCAGGGACTGATGGGTAATGTAGTCAAGTGCCGATTTCAGAATATCCATGACACCTAAAACCAGAGTTTTTGTTTCAGTTTAAAGTCATTGTTACCATAAATCTGAAAATTTATCCTCTTAATTGAGTAAATATAAATAAATGTATTCAGTGGCATAAAACAAGCACGACTACTGTTGTTCTTCTGTTGGCTGCTCCTGTTAGGGGTTACCACAGTGGATCATTGGTCTGCATGTTTGATTTGACACAGTTTTTACACCAGATGCCCTTCCTGACACAACCCTCCCCAGTTTTTATCTGGGCTTGGGGCACTAAGAGTGTACAGTTGGTTCCCTGATCAGGAATTGAACCTGGGCCACAGCAGTGAGAGTACTGGGGCCTAACCACTAGTCCACCAGGGACCCCAAAACAAATGTGACTAATAAATAACAAAATTTAAATGTGAAATAAGCTATCATGCAGCAGGCCTTTTTTTGCTCCATGTCATCAGAAAAAAGTGGTTTGAATACCTTCCTGAATGTTTATAGCCATGGGTTTTCTGATGAAATCTGGGGTACTTTTTCCAGGTGGTATTCTTTCCACATATTGTGTGATAATAACACCAGGTACTCTGGATCTTTTCTTGATTGCCACTGTTAACATCAGAAGAGAGCTAGTTAGAAGATACATTTTTGAATTTATTTAGAAAAGTAATAACCATTCAAAAGGAATCTGTGTTAGCAATATGACATACAGTACACAAAATAAAAAAAATTAAAAAAAAAATTGAAAACAACAAGTCAGCCACAAGAGGGCAGTAAATTGCTACAGTAATGGGTAAATTACAACCAATGGATAGGAGTAATTTTAATTGCTATTAAGTGCTAGTAACTAATAGGTAGTAAATGACTTGCTAGTAAATAATAGATTAATATCAATATATGCCTATATTTTAGCAGTTTCAACAGATGAATATAATCATATTTACATCAAGTACTCTAACTGCACAGGTAACTGTTCTTACATGGCTCTGACATGGTTAGATGATTCAAAACTGGTTTTAACTAGGTAAATGAACACTAAACAGAGAATGGGGGAAGGAGAGAGATGCTTTCAAACAGTTTAACAAGAAATAAAAGTTTTTTTTTCTACTTGAACCACAGGGCAAGTCATCTTCACTGGAAACTGTGGCATGAGGTGCACATGAACGTAGATATAGATATGAAGGCTAGAACGATAAACCAGTATTGATTTGCTGGAGGCCACTGTTTACAGTAAGAATAATACTTTTTATGTTTGTGACAGCTATGCCTATTTCTTGGGAAAGAAAATGTGAGGGAAATTCATTGCACCTTTTGTTGTAATAGATTTATTCATTCACTTTGGTATTTGAAGGTAACACTAGATACAAGGACAGTACCCCTCTGCAGCAAGAGTTCCTGCTCTCCTGAGGTCTATACTGACCACTGACCTCAATTTCCTGTTCACTTCTGCATTATATTTACCGCAGTTTCTGCATTTCCTGCATTTAATTCACTACAGTTGTAATTGCTGTATTTCACAGTCAGTTTATGCAAGAGATACACAACACTGTAAGATAATACCTATTAACAGAAATGAACACCCAAGCTAATGTTAGCCTACACACTTCACTGCAAAGTAGCTTGTGCTAATGGGGTGTCTTCAGTTGAAACTGGATATTGCCCATGATATTAGTGGCTAGACACTTACATAAAATTATTACATGTGATTTTCTTTGACAGTTTAACATGTCTGTCTTTTGTCATTTTTATCACAATAACTGATATGCTATAAAGGTAAATATTGCTAATGCATATTAGCTATGTTATCAGCATGTAAAAGTATGTTAAAAATGGTATAATGTTTCTTGATAGGTGTTTGTTATTATCCAATGCCTTTCCTTCTCACACACTGGGCCGTGGGGTTTGAATACTGTAGCAGGCAATGGGACTGCAATTTCTGCCAGTCTTGTCCAAGATCTGTGGTTATGGTTCAGCTAGCTGTTCTGGTGTGAAATGTCTGCTACAGACCTTTCTACGGGTGGAAATGGTTACAACGTAGATTTCTCCTGAGATCACTCTGAGCAGGGAAGCTGTGGAAACTTAAGGTTGCTTTTACATATGCAGTGTTTAGAACGTTTGAATCGAACTGTGGTGTGTTTTCCTCTTTAGTGTGATTTGTTTGTGCAGCTGAGAACACAGCAATCACACTCTGGTGCGGATCAAAACAACCGGTTCGAGACCATAAGGTGGTCTCGGTACCGTTCCCAACAAACTCTAGCGTGATTTGATTGCAGTGAGAAAGCGATTTGACACAGAATCGAGCCAAATACAGGAAATGTGATGTGACATGAGATTGGGAGTGATGAACAAAAAGAGACAATATACAGTGGTTGCCCATTTCACAGTATTTAAACACACTGGTTTAGACCCTTTATCTGTGTACCAGACTACTCTTTGGATCACCTTCTGATTTTTGTATTTCATGCCCAATTATGTTTTCATGACCTTGACCCTTGCATGCGCTAACATTTGGGTATTTGGCAGTGTTTTGGTATTGATAATAGATCCTAAACAACCTCCTGAGTTCAGTGGTGTATTCCATGAAGTGAGCTAATAAAACTGGGGCTTATTTGAAATAGCCTCACTTGACATAGAGTAACAGATCAGTCCAGCCTCATTGAGTTCCATCAACGAAGTTCAGGTGCAACTTATAGTATTTCCGCTGATTCAAGCTGGAATTGGCCAAACGAGGCTCATGTGTGCGCACACAATATATATACACATCTATCAGTGGAGTGAAGCTATAGCAATATGGCAGCGAATGAGAGTGCTTTTTCAGTCCAGCTGAACAGCTACTTATAATGAAATTATACGACGAGCATAAAAACATTATTGCAAATAAAGGCAACACCTCAGCAATTAACAAAGCTCAAGAGGCAACATGGCAGAAAATATACGACAGAATAAATGTGTAAGAACATATAATTCAAACAAACATCTAAATAATATGAAAGACAATATAAATAGGTTCTACAGTCAAAATTAACATGCTTACCACATACTTGATCTCATCTACTTGAAGTACAAATAGTGGATTATAACGAAGTCACATAACTGAGGATTTATTATTTTTTTGTAATTGGACTAATCTAAGGTCACAGCCATGCTGATATTCGGTGGCTCACATTGATTTGTACATTCCTGTTAAAGGTGCTTCAGGTAAAATTGGCATCCCTTCTTCCTTTTAATCTTCATCTGATGAGCTTTCATATTTTAAGTAAAAATTATGCAAGTCTGCTGCTGATGATATAGCTAACACTACTGTAGTAACTGTTTCGCACTAGTGGAATGTTAAATGGTGAACACAGATGAGCAGAGTGATACAGTGAAACGTCCCTGTGAGGTTATAGGAAATATAAGCACTCTTGGAACGCCGCCAATCATATTAGTGGACCAGAACTAACTGTTGTATAATTTCTGTTAAATCTGACTACAGTTCAGTGTGCACTATGGTGGAGCAGTTGTTCCTGAGTATTGTTTCCACCCAGCGGGACTACGAGAACACAAGCCTTGGTCAATAGAATTCATCAAGCTCAACCAAGCTTCAGAACTAATCAGACATGGAGCAGGTTTGTCCAAAAGCATATGCTGTGGGGCTGACGATCAGCTTTGTTTGTGGAGCCGAAATTGATGGAAATGAGCCAGGCTTGTTGAAATAAGCCTGGCTTATCGATTTAGCTTGCTTCATGGAATACCCCCAGGATGTTACAAATTATTTGTCAGTTCTTTTGTCAAACATTTTTTAGCACAGTCACTCTATTAGAACAAAATCTATTTCAGAAACTAATAAAGATATATGAACATTTTTATTTGATATAGTATGTAAGAATGGGGTAATACATGACTGATAAAGCTTTTAATGGTCTTCTAGTGTTCACAGACTTGAGGGAAAAGGAACAGTGTTGTTGCTGCTGTTATAGTTAAACTGTCAAAAGCAGAAAAAATATTTTTCTGCTTTTGACAGTTTAGCTACAATAGCAGCAACAACACTGACCCAAAAACTAACCGATTAGAAGAATAGAAAAGAGAAACCTTTAAAAAATTGCTTGTAATTGTTGAATAAAACAATATCTGTTTATTTTCTTAATTTCCATTGAAACTGAAAATAGATATTCAAATACAAGTTGTACTAGTCCACAGCCAAGGATCCCAATTTACCCCCAATCCTTATTTCTGCCCTTCATTCTTATACTGAGTGCTGAAAATTATAGATTGCAGTAGGTTACAGATTCACAACACTGGTCCTGGAGTACCCCCTGTCTTGCACATTTTAGTGTTCTTTCCTGCTCCCAACACACCTGATTCAAATCATCAGCTAATTAACAGCTAATTCTTGAGTTGTAGTGCTTGTGTTAGAGCAGGGAAAACACTCAAATGTACAGGACAGTAGATACTTCAGGACCAGTGTTGGCAAGCTGTGCCATAAAAAAAAAAAAAAAAAAAAAAAAAAAAACACCTTACCTCCAGTAGACATCTCTAAAATCTTACTGCTGTTTTTTTATTTTTCAGTTTAACAAGTTAGCTTGGTTCTGAAAATAAAAAAAAGGTAATTAGATCACTAAAATATACCATAGTAATAACATATTTACGCATATAGTTAAACCAGCATCCAAAACACATTTTTTCCTAATATTTGTTTCATTAAATAATCTTTGCTTCATGAAATAATATTTGCATTTATGCATAATATTGCATTTCAAGATTCTAAGAATTGCAAATCCAGTAGGATCTTCAGTGTCTCTGAGTACCAAAGAGGCTTGTGTGATGATGGCAGGGAAACAGAGAGCCTTATTTAACCAATGACCACATGGACATAGTGATCTAACCCCTCTTGTTCACATAATATACCAAGCCATCTTTCTTCTGCAGGAATCTGATGTTGAAGTACTTTTATAAATCATGAACTAATCATGCTGTCATCAAGGTGCTGATATTATAAATGATTATATTTTTTTCGATTCTTTTAAAATTCTTTCCCAATTGTTTTTAAAAGCTTCAGTGCGAATTTTTATTGCATGATAGGTGTTACAGCACCTATCTCCGTTCAGAAAAGAACTCACTTCTAGGCTGTGACCGCCAAAAAAATTAACCATTAAAGATACACTGAGATTTTGATTTGAATTATGCTGTATGTGTAGTAATATGAAACTGACGATGAAGCTTTTGATGGCTATGAGATCTATGAGATCCTTCTTGATGCATCAGCGGCTATTTAGGCTCTGCTTTTGATAGGTCACATACCTAATAAAACTATGAGGGATATGCTGGCAGCCATAACAGCTCTGCTAAAAGAGCAATAAATAAATAATTAAATAAACAGATAGATAGATAGATAAATA